GGAAAAAAAATCTTCCAATGAAGGAAGGAAAAATCGCTCCAATGAAGGAGAAAATAATCTTCCAATGAAGGAAGGAAAAAAAATCTTCCAATGAAGGAAGGAAAAATCGCTCCAATGAAGGAGAAAATAATCTTCCAATGAAGGAAGGAATACGTCCACTTTTTTCTTTCACTTGTGTTAGCAACTTCTTTTAAAAATAGTTATCTTACCCATTTCCATATTGAGAAGAGCAAGCAAGAGCAATAAGGATACGAAAAGAGAGTAAAACGAGAGCAAGAAAAAGAGCAAGTAAGAAAAAGTAAGATGAAAGCAAGAAAAAAAGAGGGAGTAAAAAAAATCAAGTGAGAAAAAGCAAGCAAAAAAGAGAAAGAGTAAGAGAAAGAGTAAGAGTAAGAGAAAGAGTAAGAGAAAGAGTAAGCGAAAGTTACGGGTTCTGCCTTAAACAAGAGATGTGGGCGTGAGAATTAAATAATGATAAAAATGACATACTTTATTGTATTACATATTGTTAAACAATATTTAAACTAAAATATGGGAACGTGAGAATTAAATGTTTTGTAACAGTGGGAAAGGCAAATTTTTATTGTCATATACATGTATATACTTTTTTCTGAACCAGGATGACTAATTAATTAAAAATACGTAATTAGGATAACATATGTCGATTATTAATCTAGAATTTTCTATTGATTTCCGTGGATCATTTTTATTATAAATCGCGAAAAACAAACTAATAACAAAGCCTTGGCAGTAGAAAAACATTTCATCTTTTGTATTACTAATAATCAATAATCTCATAAATATTCTATATTTTGTTTTTTTGATCCGCGTAATGTAAATAAACAATTCTTAAAAAATGACTCATTATACAAAGCAAAGAAAACATTTATCAAAGATTCGCGTTTATAGATATACATAAAAATTATTATCAAAGAATCAGTCTTAGATATTTATTATAATCTGATTATAAGTTATTTATAATACGATTAGAGCGCATAGTGATAGATAAGAGACTCCATATCCTCGAGTTCGATAATAACATCAATTCCCTGCTTCAAAGGAAAACGAAATCCAATTAGAAAAGTAAAACAAAAAAAGTAACAAAACAAATACGACCCAACTCATACTATCAAGGAGGAGCGCGACATCTAAGATTCTTGCTCAAAGAAGAATAGTAAGTTAGCAAAGAAAAAATAGCTATCTAAGACTTTTAAAGACTTATTTGTATTCTAATACTATGTTTGCATATTTGATAATTATGTTTTTTTATACTATAATAAAAATATTGATCGTCAAAAGTTCAAAAATCATATACCGATACGTAGTGATACATTTCAGTGCTTAATATCTATTGCTAGTGTGATCGGGAAATATAATAGTTATTTACCGCTAGCTTCCGATATCATCGGAAGCTAGCGGTAAATAACTATTACATATTACCTGCCAAGAAATAACACCCAGGCACAAATCAGAAAAATCTCAGGGACTGACTTCCAACATGCTTTCATTATGGGCAAGTCAGTCACGTCCGAAAATATTGCCAAATCCACCAAACGCAAAGAATTACGGGTCGAACTTTCGGCAGGACCAGTCTTTGCGAACAAATTGAAACACGGCTCAAACTACTAATCACAGTTTGACCACAAATTGACTCAGACCATGGGAAACACTGATTTGTCGCTGCTTTACAACCCACAAGAAGCTGATTCTTGAATGCGAAACATGGTTTCATTTTTCTTGTGAAAGCACTTTATTTACAAAAGTGGGTGAATCAGTAGCTGCCCGGCCTTCCGGAAGGAATGCCAAGTCTTGCCTCAGCAGTTGGGTGCTTCTCTCCAGGAAGAAGCGAGTTTTTGCAGCGCTGCTGCTTGCTTGCTAAGTGCCGTCTTCGGCTGGCACGAGCGGCTATTTGCATCGCTGCCCGACTTTCCAGAAGAGAGTGACCAGCAAACTTGCCGATGCAAGCATAAAAATACTCTTTCCCTGTACACGACCAGAAAAGCGTTCCTATTTTTCCTCCCCGCAAAAAGTTACCCGTCTTTCTCTGCGCTGTTTTCTGGGTTTGAACTAAAAAAAAAGTATTTTTTTATAAGTTAAAAAGAAATTGTGCCCAACAGACAAAGCCAGGAAAATATGCAGTTCTCCCTTACCTACTATTGCATATAATAAAAATGTAAGCGTATTTAGTAAAAATCTTGGATTAATTCATCGACCAAGTTTACTTTCTTAAGCCAGACATTTTGTGTGTGTGTGTTAACAAAATGCTGTAATTAAGGCAAAGTAGGAAAGTTAGTAATTAAGTCTTGAAAGCAAGTCTTGTAAAAGAGCTGCCAAAACCGTAATTCAGCCAATCAATCCCATCGTTCCAAAAGAAGCTTATAGAGTGTCAACGTTATGAAAAATCAAAACGGTAAGTCGGGGATATCGAGAATTATTATAAAAATCGTTATATTTATTTAGGTTGTTGCTATAGCAAGATTTTAATTAGCCATCGTTGTAACAAGCACCGGAATATCGAGTTTTAACTGTAACAGTATACATGTACAAAGTGATAGATAACGGTAACGTAGTATTAAAAGGAGAGTCATAGAAATAGAGCCACCTGCAATGTTGAAGATGACATAGTCCGATTCTTTTCAACAGGCAATATATAGTGCATAACATTTTGCTTTAATGTAAACTGAAAATTAACGGTTTTTTTGATATACACCCCTACAGTATATTACCGGAAATTTCAACCCGATATCTCGGCATCCAATGATCCCATTCGAACAAAAATATCACCATTAGATTCGTCTCGACTATAAGAATCTAATGGTAATATTTTTGTTCGAATATACTGTAGGGGTGTGTATTGATATAAGATCCTGTATATATAGTGAACAGACAAAATTTATATAACGATAACATTGTAGTAAATCGGAACTCACCGTTTTTTAAATAAAACATTGCCATAATCACCAAGAAACTCAGTATGGCATCTAAAACTTCGGATACTCATGATTGTCTTTTTGTCGAACGATTACTACTGCAAAGCGTGTTCATTTCACAATATTCATGATTGTAGTAATAACTATAACGATTGTAGATACTATAATATTTCTAAATTTGGCTTACAATACAATGGAAGGATTAACATGTATGAAATATCAAAGGAAATTATGGAATTAAAGGGTTTAATGTAGAAGATAGCGATAGCTATGGAAAGATATTCATGTAGAAATTAGGAACAAAATTACGGAATTAAAGGATTTAATGTCACTACGGTAACATTATGCAGTTAAAAGTGGAGATAAAGATATAGATATAGACAGTCTAATAAATGAATGCGACAGAATTGCTGGTGGAAATACTCTGTGCAGGTGGTGTAGTCTAAATTATTATTGAATAACTAAAAACCCAGCTACAAATGAATACTCGGTAGCGGGTTTCTAAAAGCAAGGCAAGCCGTTTAGCCGGTTTAGCCACAACACGCCACATCTGATCATCACCACATGCTTTTTCACGTGACATTCACAATCTTATTATTTGATTGGTAACTCAAAACCCGAGTAGTAACTTATATATGTCTATCTTTATTGGTTAGAAAACACTTATTTTTAATTAACTTGGAGACTAATAATAATTATCAAATAGTAGAAGGGATTTGCACTCACACACACCCACACGAGCGTGACGAATCACTTTTATAGTGACTCGTCTCTTTCGTTATCTCCCTGTCTCTTTCTCACCGTCTATGTATCAACAACCCTTAATAAAAATCAGATTTGTTGTGTACAATTCTTCAAGTCCCCGATACTTGTAAAAACCTTAATATCGAAATTATTGTGATTGTTGGTTAGGACCTTTGCACAGAAAAGGCGACGATAGGATATTGATTTCTTTAACGGACTAGACGACTGATTGATCAAATTCTAAGAGTTTTGACTTTGTCCCATCTCTTTTATAGATTCAAATCATTAATACACCATGACTAAGTTTTACTGTACGATAATTCTCGTACAAGAAATCATGGATGAGTTTTTTCAAGTCCTGCAAATGAGAGCTAAAAAAAAGTAGTAAAATTAGTATTCGAGTTAATATAATATTATTTCTTATTCAAAAACTGGTTTTTTCATTTCTAATAGATGTATATAAAATCTCGCCGTCAATAGCTTTTTTTGTTGTCGTGTTTACCATGCCTCCAGAAAAAACGTCACAACAAACTACACCAAAAACCTCACGGAAACGAAAAAATGTCGAAATTGAAAGTGCAACCAAAAAAGTGAAAAATGAAGAAACTATGCTTGCCTGCAGACACTTCACCTGTATTAATTCGGTACTGGATGGAAAGCAAGTCCCGCAGGACACCAGATACAGCACCTAGAGCAAGCCATCCAGACGATGGTTGCTGAACAGCAAAAAAACGCGGAGCGAGAAAAGCCAAACGGATAAAAATATAAATTGCCATTGTTGTGGAAAGAAGACATAAGCGGTCAACAACGAAGATCATCTGACCAACCAATAAATTTCTCTGGATACCCTTATGTCATAAAAAAATGACTTCCGAGTACTATTGGTCCGGCGATTCTATATTTGATTTTAAGATTGGGATTAGGGTTAGAGTGAAGGATAAAGTTATATGTAAAATTACCTCCCCGGTATTTTTATTAGTGTACCAAGCTAGATTTGAGCATTAGCTCCGCATTTTTCACATTTTTTACAATTTTCATTTTCTTGCTTTGCCGGGTTGATCAAAAATTTGAGCATTCCTATTGGTTAACGATCAAGAGAGCAGCCGGATATGACGTTATTATTCTCAATTTACTTTCTAGAGGAAAACCCAAAGCTACCAGTACCTACACGACGAAGAAATAAATGATTTAATATAAAAATTAAGGATAATTGAAACTGAGTTACTTTTTAGAAAATCAACCGCTACTCCCCGAAACCCATAAAAAACTTATCTAAACATAGGAAATGAAAAATCCACTGATTGACTGAAAGTGAGGAAACCGACGATGAACTCACTGTGACTCTGATAACTACTATTTCAAAACATTAAGATTATTGCTACAACCACTGGAAGCACCGCCATCATCAGTGTTATTATCGACGTAATTAAAATAACGTTAAAATTTCGCATAAAATTAAGATCGAAATATATTATCATAACGAACTAGAGGGAAAGTCAGAAAGATCGGATGAAAAGGTGTTAGAACATTGTTTAATGACTTCAAAATCAAAAATAGATTTCACTTACCTCATTATGATTATCAATAGGATCTGGTTCCATTCCATTACAAAATTTACATGTACATTTATTCATAATTTATTACTTAAAAATTCGCGTATACAGTTATTTCTTATTAAACATATAATTATTATGCATAGAAAATAACGGGAGAAGGAGTGTACAATTATTATTACGACTTAAAAATATTACTTAAATATAAATTATTATGCATAGAAAAGAAAGTTAATTTTTCTTATATATGAATGGATAATTTCGTTTTTCTCAATGTAATATAAAAATTAAAAGAAATAACATATAAAATAAAGATAACATAATTTCTTACTCCAAAACAGACGTCAAAGCCTTCTCCAAATTCTCAACGAATCTTGTAACTTCTACATTGCCTTGATCCGTCAAATTATAATATCGATCTCTTGCTCGTTCAAATAATTCGTTCATAATTAATCGATTTTTTTCCACAGCCGCTTTCGCTTCTAATTGAGGTTGGGTATTTCCACTAAATCGCGAGACTGATATACCTCCAAACCACTTTCTTCAAAATTTTCTTGAAAACTCCTCCATACTTCGGGTGTCAGAATATCAGCGTCGCTACAGAGTTGATTGTGAAAAATATGGCGACAGGGTAGCATATAGCGATTGAAAAAATTGCAATCACACTCTGCAATAATGAGGTTTGGTGCTTCTTTTCCTTCTTGCAACCTTTTCGAGACAGCGTGCGCCTCTTCTGTGATGAGTTTTTGGATTGGAAAAGGAAATTTGTGAATTTCAGCGAGGATTTGGGAGTTCACATTGGCAATGAAAATTGGTTTTGATAGAAAATTGGTGGCGACTTCTTTTGCCATTATTTCCTTCTTTTCATCAAGTTCCGAGATCATATGGCATGCACCTAAAGGAGGATAATAATTGGCGAAGAAAAAAAAAAAGAAAAAGAAAAAAGGAAGTGATGAGAAAAAGGAAGGGAGGGAATAGAGGGCAAAGAGGAAAGGACAAGATGAAATAAAGTATGAAGAGAAGGGAAAAAAAGAGAAAACTACAAAGGGGGGAGGAGATCAAAGGAATGAAAGAGACAAAGAAGAGAAACAATAAGGGAAAAAATGAGAGGAGGATCGAAAAGAAAAAAAGGAAAATAATAAGAGAGAACAAAAAAAAAAAGAGAGAGGGGGGAAAGAAAAAAAAGATCAAACGATGAGAAGATCGAAAAAAAATAAGAAAAGGGGATGAATGGGAAAAAAAAAGAACGAACAATGAAAGATCAAGAAAAGGAAAAAAAGAACGAACAATGAAAGATCAAGAAAAGGAAAAAAAGAAGGGAAGAGAAGAATCAAGAAAAAAATAAAGGGAAGGGGAGAGAAAGTAAAAAAGAACGAACGATAAGATCAAAAAAAAAGGAAAAAAAAAATAAGGGAAAAGAGGAAATAAAAAAGAAAAGAACGAACGATGAGAAAAAAAGAAACAATAAAAAGTTTACCTACCAATAATGCCATGTACCACAGAAGTTCTTGTTTTAAGCTCACTGTGATAAGACTCGATGCAATTAGTCGAAGTTACTTGGAGAAGGAAAGGTGAGTGCTGTCGCGTCCAGAGCGCCCATTTTTTCAAATTCTTCAAGTAATTTCGTGATATGTATTTGGCAGTGGCTTGTAAAGGACAAGTAGTTATAGCATCCTGAACAAGCGCTTCGCAACCAATCTGAGTTTTTTTATGCATTGCTTGGATCATTTTTTTAAGAGTTGGTCCATGATAGATATTTTTGATCCATGTTCGCACAATATGCACCGTACATAGGAGAATATCGCATTCTTGCTCTCCTACACAAAGACCAGGAAAGGTGGCCATAATGCCATTGGCTTCCACGCTGCTTTGATCAAGCAATATATATCTCGGTCTCCACCGGAAAGCGGAATTTCGAATTATTTTTAATCCCGCCGCGACTATTGCACTATTCTCGTTACTGACACCAAGAACCACAACCATTACGAATATATAATGTAAACAACCGCCAACCATGCTTATTTGTGTTGTGAGTTGAATCCATTAAAGCTAGCCACCCATAGCGCGTGAGATTTTCTAATTGTATGGAATTTGCGAAACATAATCCTTGACAGGACGCTTGAATAAAAAAAATTTCGACGTGATCTAAACATCAGCATCTAGGTTGACATTCCCAATGAGATGCGAGGTCATCGAACCCACGAGCTTTAATTTGATATTTGCGACTTCCTGAGTAGATATTTGATGCCTGAGTTTTCATGTGATTTTGCAATTTGCTTTCGCACTGCGTTAGCGATCGCGGGAGGCTTGTACTCCTTGATAGCTTCTTCAGCTACCGCATCCTTAATATATTTTGATCATTTTCGTATGTCACTCTCCTCGATTGAATGATTATGATCGGGGACTCTTTAAACCTTTCAATTTTGACCTCCTCTGCAAACCAAGTTACTTTAATCCTGGCTTCACACTCGATTGGAGATCGCTTGCAAGTCGCACGAAGTTTCTCCGGGGAGGGGGGACACCAACTTTGCGTCCATTTGATTGTTGAGGTTTTGAGAGTTGACATAAGTTCTCCACTCAGTTCCATTTAACAGTGTATTTCCATTAAATCGAATCCATATATTGTCGACAAATGCCCATTCTTTGTTGAATTCTTCGGGAGTAAGTTCAATCGCTTTATTAACATTAAAAAAATGCTTACGAAGGTTCGACATGGAGTAGCATATAATAAAAATGTAAGCGTATTAGTAAAAATCTTGGATTAATTCGTCGACCAAGTTCACTTTCCTAAGCCAGACATTTTGTGTGTGTTAAAAAAGAGAACAAAATGCTGTAATTAAGGCAAAGTAGGGAAAGTAAGTAAGTAATTAAGTCTTGAAAGCAAATCTTGTAAAAGAGCTGCCAGAACCGTAATTGTGGTCAAACTGTGATTAGTAGTTTGAGCTGTGTTTCAATTTGTTCGCAGATTGGTCCTGCCGAAAGTTCGACCCGTAATTATTTGCGTTTGGTGGATTTGGACGTGACTGACTTGCCCACAATGAAAGCAAAAACTTGTAGCAATAATATTCAAGTCCGTTACTGTCACTCCACGCC